TCTTTATGCATTTGAATAGCTTGTTCAATGGTGTCAGCATCAATAAGAGGTTCAAACGCTTACAACATGATAGAGTGTTCATATTGTCACAAATAGTTGACAAACATGTCATGAACGAAATTTCGTTTCATGCATGCCGCAGTCAGTTTAGCTTGTGAGTGACATCTCTTCTATGTCTCATCTCCATGTTGTCTTGAGGAAGCTTCTCGTGGCGGCATGCCAGGCTGCAGCACCCACGATAGACCTAACGAGCTCTAGCTGCCTTATCGGTAGGGGCTGCCGATTGTCTAAGTTACTGTTTGGTGCTGAACCAAAAAGGCATTTTACAGTTGTTGCAATTAGAAGGGGTGACTTTGCATATTCAATGAAAACGAGGGCTTGTGTGAGCAACACTCGAATGATGGTTTGTAATCGCCACTGTTTTCTACATTGCGCACATTCCCGGACAATCGAAAAAATGAGAAAATTTGAATGGCTGTTTGACATGTAGTGTCTGCGCAGAGTGGTACTGTGGTAGGTTCGCATAAATGAAGAGGTCCAAAACGTTGTCTGGTAGCTTTTCATTATGGCTCATATTTTCCCCCTACATCGGTTATGTAAGCACCGCAAGTCCATGGGTGCTAACTGTTAAACATCTTCAAATGCAAGCAGATCAAAACTTGCATCCTTGTCGCATGCCTCGATAGTCTGAATCGCACAGCCATGTCTTGCACATGTTGCAAAAATATTGTTTTGGTTATAGTGTACAGTGCAGTCCACTTATAACGATACCACATATAACGATATATCGGTTATAACGATGGGTCGACTTAACAGTCTCATTTTATGCATTGGGGCTATGGGGAAAAAAACCATATATAACGATATGTTATCCACCGCATATCGGATACAACGATGAAAAGTTTGCCGTGGACGGCATGTTTCATTCAGAATAATCGTAACCTTTAGATTGATAAGTTCCTCTGAAACGAACTATGCCGAGACAAGACGAAAAGTTAGCGTAGGCGAGTACCTGCCGCCACTGCAGCACAGCGCCGGCAGCGCGTCCCGGCCGTTCAAAAAGCCGAGGAGAGCATCGCGAGTTCGCGCGACGCGCTACAGATGGCGCCAGCTGTGTCACGTTTTGCGCCTCGCCGCGCGACGACCGCGGAGAGGCTAAGAGAATTTAAAAAAAAATGCGAAAAGCAAAGCGCCGCGCACCGCGGCTCCCCGCCTTCTACAACGGCAAGCCGGCAAGCTACTCGTAGCTTGCCGAACGAAAGCGGGAAAGAGAGAGAAAATAAAAAAAGCGAAAAGCAAAGCGGCGCGGCAGCATCGGGGCGGGGCCTCGTTGGCATTCCGGCTGTGTACCTCTGGCTGTGCTTTCTTCTTCCCACTGCTCCCACCCCGCCGTCGGTCAGTCTCTCTTCCTCAGCGAACCCGTGATGCGTTCTTCGGAGTAAGAAATAAAGTCTTGTTTTTGACATCCTACTATCTACAATATTTATTAACTGGTGAAAATAGCGAAATGAAGCCTGGAGCTACAAAAGGTACGTCCGGCGACGATTTTTTGGCGGCAGTCCAGATATAACGATCACCGGTTATAACGATCATATTTTTAGGTTTTCTCGATATCGTTATAAGTGGACTGCACTGTAGTTCTACTTCTAACACATATATTCCTGACCGTGGCAAATTATGGTATATGCTCTATAGGGATGGAGAAACTGCAATGTCACGTAAAAGTGTTGTGCGGTTATATTGTGTTTCTTTATAGAATGCGAAATTCCAACACGCCCTGTCTAAGAAAGCTGTAAAATAAAGCTGTGTGAAAAACATAAATGAATAAAAATCGCTACTGTTGGTTGGGTGTATTGAATACCAGGCTAAAACCAAGCACAAAGGTAATACATGCATCTGTTCTATGTGTTAGTGATTATGGTAAAACATTGCCAATTTCTGTAAATGCAACATGACTCCACACTAGAGCTGTGCGGATAGCAAAATCTTGGGCTCCAAGCAAGTTTGAATGTTTTTTAATTATTTCTAAAATATTTTTACAATATTTTGAAGCAAAATTGCAGAAAAAGAAGTTGGAAAGGATTCCAGAGCACGTTCTCATAAGATAGTGCCATCGGAGTGTTTCAATTCGCTAGGTTGCGGAAGTGCTGGGAGTGGTGTTTCATAGTTGTCGTATCAAGAATGGGGCAATGCAGAAGCCAAATTGTATTTATGTACATGATTTGGTGGAACCACGATGTAAGAAAAATAATTTAGGTGTGGACACTCCGCCCGATGGCGTGTCCAAAGAAGGTTCACCTCTTTCCTCCTCTCGGCCACCGTGTTGGAGCGTTCTTCAAGCAACTGGGGCTGCCGCATGTACTATAAATATGAGCTGTGTGCATAGGGTTCGTAACGGTGTTTAGCACGTGAGAACTCAGAGTTACAAATATCATGCTTTCCTTTTTTTTTTTTCTTGCACCGTGCAGCCAATAGCGGTGTTCGCTGCACGTGGTGTTTTTCGGTTGCGAGAAATGCAGTATGTGTTTATATCTCTAGTTTATAGCATGCACAGTTTAAAAAAGTACCACGAGTTGGAAAAAAAATGCGTGTTCGCCTCGTAGCGCAAGGTTTCTTAAGCCCCCATGTCACAGCGCCCCCAACAAAGCTGCGGCCGCGCATGTCTTAAAGGAGCACTGACATCAAATTTACTCATGCCAAGATTTTTGTGTCAGCGAGTAGCTATAGACCCTGTAGCAGCGATTCGCGACCTAAAACGCAACTGAGGGATGAATAACTATCACTTTTATTGATTTATGTTTGACAGACATTTATGTTTGACTTTTATTGATTTTATGTTATGACAGCAGTGGCAGCGCCACTGCTGTCACCAGCAGTGGGGCTGCCTCGCGGTCACCACCAGATCACGCCACAGCTGACCACTTCTTCACAGAAAAGAGTGACGTCAGGCGCAGCTGCTCCACAAACATTTCGTCGGCTAGGCGGACACATTAAGTCATACTTTGTCACCTGCATAACTGTCGTCGCCGTACAAAGTGTTGACTTGGGTTCAATACGATAGTCTGGAGCTTGGAATCCCTGCGATTTGTGATGTCGCAAATTATTTTTGTTTCGATCGACCTTTTGCAGAACAGTGTTTCCGAAATGGACGCTGTTCCAAGCAGCACTGCAGAGGTGCTCGAAGATGCACGCTTCAGCCATGTTCGCTCGTGTGTCTCAGTTAGCTATATTTGTGTGTTTTGGTGTGCAAAGCATTCAGGTATACGCAGAGGGGTCATTGCAATATAGCTATCGTGAATGAGCATTAGCAGAGAAACAGAATACGTGTCCTGTTTGCCAGGTTCTTTTTTGGGGCTCCAGATGGCCTTATCTATCCAGCCTCTCACGGTTAAGGCGGTATTACTTCTTTTATGTGGATGCAAAGTCTACAGATGAACTAAAATTCAACAATACCTGCATGTTACTTGTTAGCGATGATATCTGACTATACGCTGTTCGACTTTTGATAGCTTGTGGTCGTGTTGATGTGTAACACATACATGGTATGGAAAGACACCCTCATTGCGCTTTTTCCGTGCTTCGAACTAGACGACTGCAACTCACCTGCAACTCGCAACGATTCCTCGACATGCTGACCGACAAGCACACGTTTAATGATGCTCTTTTCTTTCGCCGTTCTTTTAAAGGTGGTTTTTATCTTGATAATTTGACGAAATCGTTCAAACTGTTCGACGAAGATCAGACGCGACGAGCGAGTTCATTTCTGCGCTGTGGCGCCAGTGGGCGCCACGATAAGAACACTCGGATTGTACACGTCATCGCTACTTGGGCATCATCACTCAGGATGGTATTTGTAGAATTACACCGAACACGTAGCACTGGTGACCATGCCGCAGGGCAGTCTACTTTTAGTTTTTTCTCCTTGCTTTTTCTACACTGTTTGACATCGAATTAAAATAACTTCCTTGCGACGGATGCCGTTCAAATTTGGCCAAGAAGACCTATGCATACTGAGCGACTGAATGATGGGCACATCTCGATCTTGTAATTTGTTGCGAGTGCTCCTTAAAGGCGAACATTATCTGAATGGGATTTCTCTAACGACGGACGGAGTGTGTCCACACCTAAATTCTTTTTCTTACACCGTGAGTGGAGCCGAAGCGTTGCCAAAAGCACTTTACATGTGAAAGGCAGAGAAGCTATATTCTCGGCCTCTCCTCCTCTTTCAACTTCTGTGGAAACCCAACTAATGTGGCGGGCAAGGGTGTGCTGCCTTCGAATCCAGAGTTCCAAATCTGCCTTGTAGACGCCAATATGTAAGAACATCTGAAATTTTGTATTTTAAAGATCTTCGGGGGGGTCCAGTTCTTTTGGACTTCCTGCCCGAATTTCAGGTCCAAAATAGCATTAACCGAGCTCCCGTCTCTGCCACATTTATCAACTTCATGTTGGAACGAACGCTTTCTTGAGTCAATACAATTGCAATTGGAGCAAAGCCTGAAAGGTATTTTTCACCGCGATACTAGAGTGAGATTAGGTGAAGCGTATTGAAAAATGTCATTTGCAGTCTGATGTTGATTGTATTTGTCTTTTGGAAGTTTAAATAGTCCAAGTAGTATAATTCTAGTGTGAATCAAATCGAATAGCAAACACTAATATAAATATATTAGAAATTTTGAATCTCCACACATCTCTATTATACAGTTAATGATAGCATACAGTCATCACGAAGTACAATGTACCTTAACGGTCATGTGTCAGCATTATGTTATTCTAAACATGAAAATGTGTTCGTAAACTTGTTCGTATCTTCCAGCTCGTTTGGATACTAGCCCCTTAAGTCACATATTTAATCGTGTGTGAATATTCAAGACAATTAAAAATATGCATTTTACTAATTGTATATACTTTCAATAAAATATATTTGCTTTTGAAATTTTGAAATATTCAAACACCCCCTAGTTGGGACACATTGAGAAATTGCCGTCTCTGTCTTCCAGAGAACAAAGGAACAGAAGAAAACGGTACGTATATTTTTCATACACTAACATATATATCTCATGAATAGAAGCTGCAGGTATTCCTGTCTGCTCTGACCCTTATGGTGCACTATTGTATTTGGCACGAAAGGATGGTATTTTGTAGCGGGTGCATTATGTGATTGTTTGATTTGTTGAACAAGCAATCCTATTTCCCCTTAGAGTAGTACCCAGCAGCAGGTATACACTCCAAGGAAACCCAAGTTTACCTGCTGTAGTGACTTAGTCATTACCTTCTGGCATTATTAAGCCACGGGTACATGTTCATTACTTGGCCGCGGGGACACATTTCATTGGAGACGCGTTACAAAAAGTGCCCTTGTATCAGTAGGAAAGTGCATGATTCTGAACCGTTCCTCAAGCTTGCGTAAAACTCGCATTTTATGAACAGCAAGCACTGCTCTGAACAGCTCAGCTAAATTCTATAAATGTGTGTGGCCTGTAAAGATTATAAGCGTAGTAAGTGATGCAATAATTGTGGTTGATGCGGAAGCCACCTCATCGCCCAGTGCTCTAAAATTCAGGGCAGGCGCCATTTGTGAGCACTAGAAATGCTTTCATTGACGCTAATCCACTTCAGATATGAATTATTATGAACTATCTGCAAATTTATCTAACATAAACAATATTTTTTCAAGTGAAACTATGCTATATTTCAAGAAAAAAAAGGAGGTGTGAATTTCAGTAATAAGCTTAATTAGCTAGTAATCAAGTATCTCTCTATTGTGCAGTCAGTAGGGCTTCATTTTATTTTATAGAGCGAATTTAATAATGGCCAGAAAACACTTGCGTGATTTGCTTTTGCTTTTGTTTTCTTTACAGCAAAAAAAATCATACTTTTGACAACATTGCTCCTGGTATCCTCCATGTCATAACGATGCTTTGTAGTGCCTTCACCAAAGTGCTCTGCTGCAGTCTTATGTGACATTTTGAGGTTAAGTGTAGACACCCAAACTATGCGGGAGGTTGAGTTCAGCTATCTAACGTGCGTCTCACTCGTTGCTGGCCACTAGTCGAATGAACTGAGAAAACTGAATTGCGTTTGAGTATGGGCACACTGCGTCTCATAAGAAGATATTACTTGTCTGGTTGACTGGTACAGCGTTCACTAATCAGGGTGTCTACCAACCAAGAAAACCGGGTAATCTCGGGGATTTTGGTTAGTCTGGAAAACTCCGGGAATTCGGGCTTCTCTCAGGGAAAAACGGCTGAATCTTCATTGAGGGAACGAAAGTCGTGGTAATGCTGGCTCTAACTATGCACCTTGTAAACGAAGGCTGGCGGAGCGCTGTTAACATCTGATTTGGTTTGTGACCGTATGGGACAAAATGAGCCCTTCATAAGATGCACGTGCCACCTTCGAACAACAGAAGGCAGTCGCGCTGCCAGTGGGTTCCCGAAGTGCGCACAACGAAAAAACAATTATTAAAGACGGCGCAACAACGTGTCGGACATCGAGCGGCGGCGCGTCAACATCCTTACCACCTGGAAGCAGAAGCCGGCATCGCCTAGAAAGACTGAGAAGGAATGATGCCACAGCTTGTGTCGCCACTGTCAGCGGAAAGTACCAAAGAAAACTGAAAGCGTTCATAGCCTCGGCTGTGCTGCACGCAAGCAAAGGCCCCAGAACCGCAGGCCCAGGCGCAAGGCTATAAAAGCATGCAGCGGCGGGGAGCAGTCAGTCTCAGTCCGATGCTTCACATGCATGCAGCGCAGGGGCAGCTACGGACGCTTCCCGTCTTCTCTGGAACATCCCGCCGACAGTGGTGTTGCAAGCCGCGGTGTCATTCCTTCTCTGTCTTTCTAGGCGATCCCGGCGGCTGTTTCCAGGTAGGGAGGAAGTTGTCGTGCCGTCTTTAATGGTTGTTTTTTCATTGTGCGCGCTTTAAACGTGAACCCGCTGGCGGCGTGGATGCTTTCCCTCGTTCGAAGGTGGAACTCGCGCCTAAAAGAGCACTCACTTTGTGACCACAGAGCTGCCAAGTGACAAATCGTCTCTTATTTTTGTGTAATCACTCTAAACTGACTGTTTTTTAAACATGGCAGTGGTGTCGCGAGCAACTTTCGTTTGAGACGTATGACGGCGTTCAAGTGTAATTTGACGAATCCCGAACATTCCGAGTGTGCAGCTTGGATAAGGGCCGTTAAAAACAATGTGAATGCGGCGTACTATCTGCTGTGCAGAAAACAGCTTTCACTTAGTAACATGGCAAAGAGAGCTGTGGCAAGCCACGCCAATAGTAAAAAGCATAGACTTGTTATGAGTGGAGACGGGATACCCTCCGTACGACACCCTCCGTAGGGCACCCTCCGGAGCCGGGACACCCTTTGTAGTCGACAGTCGATCACCGGTTTGACCAAGACAGGACCAGCGACGTCAAGATCTGCGCATCCTTCACCTGCTACAACTATGCCTACATACTTTCAGCTCCCAAGTACAGCAAAAGATTTGTTTCAACGTGACAAAGAGGTCATTAGTACGGAAGTAATTTGGTGCCTCAGTGCTGTCATGACGCACTCATCACTACATGCTGCTGCGGGGTCGCCTTTCCTGTTTCCGCTGATGTGTCTGTCGTCAGCTACAGCCCAGAAAACGCAACTTGGCAACGACAAGGGGAGTTATACCATTGTCTACGGTCCCACATCTTTTTTGAAAGAAAGGCTTGTGTCGGAAGTGAGTCAAGCGTGCTACCTCGTCATAGCATTTGATGAATCGTTGAACAAGGTTGTACGAAAGGAGCAAATGGACGTGTGAGTTCGCTTCTGGTCAGATGCAAAGGAACGCGTGAAAACTCCCTGCCTGACGTCATGCCTTCTCGGGCGCACTCGAGCTGAAAAAATGGTGTCCACATTTAAAAAGGCCACAGAAGGTCTCTCACGATCGAAAATCTTACAGGTATCAATGGACGAGCCAAATGTCAACTTGGAAGTTTCTACGCAAGATTAAGCAAGGGCTTTGTGAAGTGAATGACGGCCGCTGAATCCTCGACATTGGTAGCTGTGTACTTGACGTTGTAAACGGTGCATTCAAAATGGGACATGCGGAAACAGGGTGGCAAGTTGTGGAATTTCTACGGGCTATGAACTATTCGTTCAAATGTGTACCTGCCTGACGCGCTGAATATGCACGCATTACTTGGAGCAACATTTACCTGCTGAAGTTTTGCGCCGTCCGGTAGATTGAAAATGTTCGCGTGCTTTCAAGGGCCCTTGAGGTACTGCCATACATGAAGGTGTTCGTCAAGTTGTGTCAAAACAAGAACAAGTGGCCGAGCAGTGCCAGTTACGCCATGGTCAACAAAGCCATCTGCGATCCTCTGCTGTGCGCGAAGTTAACCTTCATGCTTAGTGTTGCGGAAAAACTGTAGCCATTCCTGGTCTAGTTACAAAGCGATACATTGATGCTTTCATTTCTCAGAACATTGCTGGGAACGCTTCTACGATTCCTAATGAGCGGAAATGTAAAGAAAGAGGTGATGATGAGGGGGAACAGCCCATTGAAGTTAATTAGGATATGGACCAGCTCTTGCAAACATTTTTCCGGCGCCCAAGATAGACTTTGGATTTGCTACAAAAAATGTGCTCACTAAGGCCCTGAAACTTTATGACTGGATTATCCTTCAGTTCAGAAGTTACGGTGTCTCATTTTCAAAGAATTGTGCCAAAAAATTGTGGAAATGTCGCTGCTGAAGTTCCAGCTGACGAGAGGGTCTTCATCGCTAGATCTTGCGTGTGTGCCAATTCCAAAGCTTGGAGAAAGGCATTTAACTGATGCTCTTGAAGTTTGAATGGAACACCAGTGGTGGACTGGAACAGGGGCTGATCAGGCAATGCGTGCCTACAAGCATGTATGTTTTTTGGCATCGACGCAAACAGCGTTTAAAAACTTCGATAGGAGCATGGATTTGCTGGATGCCCTTTGATAACAGAAGGAACAATCTCTGATTGCCCAAAGAATTGTCTTCGACATTGTGTCGTCAGCTGGAGGAGTTGCCCATGTGCAACTGACGGAAAGGATGTTTCAAATGGTCGTGGGGCAAATGCCGGTTAATAAGAATAGTTGGAGAAGCCTAGTACAGATAGGGCCAACACGTTACGAAACGAGCATGAAAAGAAGCGTGCAGCCGCTTCTCTGAAGGAGCTAGAGCTAAAGAAACAATGTTTTGGTGGATACCGCTAAGCAGGTTTCCTTCTTAAAAACAGAAATGAAATCTCTAAGGCAGTGACACAGTATGTGGTCGTATTAGGATAGTTGAATATCTGGCTGAAGAGACAATATCACTCGTGCCAATGTTTGAATTTCAAGTTGATGAGATCGCAATTATATGATGAAAGGTCCATGTTTAAAAAAAGGTTGCTCATGTTGCACCTCCTCTTTATTCTTATTTGAATATTGCTCTCGGCCATATCAAAGGGTGTTCCTGTTTTCAAAAACTTTTATTTGCTGCACATTTATTTTTACTAACTTGTCTTTTTGTGTGAAATAATTATTTGCTTACCATCTCAAGAGGTCTAACTGATTTTTTTAAGTCTTAGAGGGCTTTCGCTGTACACGTAAGGCGATAGTTTTCTGTCCTGCGAGGTCTGACGCACGGGAACATTTTCGACCCTCCGTTTAAAATTTTGCACCGTAACCATGCATGCTCACTAGGAGGTGCTTGGAGTTGTGCCATCTTCTTGTGGAAATAAGCAGAACTGATTTCTAGCATCAGCGTGCAGCACAGTTAGTGGCAACGCCCTGTCGTGGTTTCAGTTTCTCTGCGTGATCGCAATACTTAGGTGCGCAACACTTGCTTTTTATCTTTCTCGGCACTGCTTTACAGGGGGGTGGCGGAAGTCGATTTTCATCTTTATTGGGGAAGCTTTTAGCATGTTTATCATCGATGCTGACGAGGTATTTTTCCTCTTCTTGATTATCAATGTTACTCTACCCAAGGCAGCTGCACACAGAGGTGCCCCGTGTGTGCCAACCCAACTCATTGCTCCAAGAAAACAGATACATTTTATTTGTGCAGACTGCGATAAGGCCCTGTGCATTGACCCGTGTTTCAAAGAGTACCACATTTTAGGTATTCACATGACGTCATTCGCAAGGGCTGCAGGCGCGGCAACCACCGTAGTGTGGTCACGCATAGTGGTGATCGTATGACGACCAAGGTGCTTGGCGACGCGACTGCGTCCCCGGCGCGAGTTGTTGTGGTACCTTTTCTCATCTCTTCATATAGAATCAGAACATCATATGATAGATCGCTGATAGACCACGGCATTGTTGGCTGAAGATGGTTAAAGATGTACTTCTTCGCTGGCGCCGCCGGGCTGAACTACTTGAACGCTGCCTATGGTACAGTTTGCAGTTATAAATGATGCTGACACTAAAATACTGTTCCAGATTTTTTCATATAGATTTTTCTCTACATTACACATTTCGTAATTCAAACTCCGCATTAGATTAATTTGACCTATTGGAAATCTTGGAAAACTCGACCCACAAAGCATTGCACATGCTTGCTAGACAGCGACAGCAAATGGTGGCACGGTGCCTTCTTGTATTGACATGGCAGAAAGTTATGTGCCACTTAGGGAATTTCGCAAAAATACTCGGGGAAAATCTGGGAATGTGTTAATTTTGAAATGCTGACTTGGTAAACACCCTGCTAATAGAAAAGTTTAACGATTGAACTTTGTCTACGGGATAACTCCTTTGACACTCCGAGCAGTGGTCACTTCTATGCATCTGCTGTAAATGCTGACTGACTAGCCAAATGTCTTCAAGATTGTGGAACAGCAAAGTTGTGGTAAACAGTGTACCCACACAAAGTCATTGTATGAAATCTTGAGTATCATATTTTGTGAGGGCTAGCCTGTTAAAAGCTGTTGTCGAGGTCATAGCTTGTTGTCAGTCTTGTTCATATCTCATCAGCACTACAATAGAGATAAAATTGTGTACGGTGTTTATCTGTTAGACAACTGTCTATCCGGCAATCACACTACACATTCTCGATTCCTTGAAAGTACTAGTAAATATTTTACCATTCCATTTGACAAACTCAAAACATATGGGAAGCACAGCACTGCATTGGGCATGAAGCGGGCAAACAGTATTCACTTCATTCAGACCTGACATGCCAGCCTTGTGATACCGGTGTACGCCGGTGAGTGCACGCTCACTACGATGAGTGTAAGGCACCTTGGGGAAAATGTAAGGTCATAGCTGGATACTGTTTCCAAGAGAAGCGTATCGTTAAAGAGACTCTAAAGATTAACCATGGCTTAGTTTATATTGATTAACAGCGCTCTGAGAACTCTAATCCCCAATGCTTCACTACCATAAGTTCATTATTAGCGGAGAAAATCAAGATTAAAGTTTTAGTTTTAAATATCGCACTGAAATCTCCCTGTGTGACATAAACAATTCTAAAATGTATTTCTCGTATTTTCATGATATTGGCTCGACGAAGTTTTCTGAAACGTCCCATCGAATGAAGCATGACTCAAACTAAGCCTCATTATAATGAAGATGGCATTACTATTAACCTGCACGACTTTCTTTTTGATGCTTTCTCTACTTGATTTAGTCAGATGGTCGCTAAAGAAACGATGTCAGTAGTGTACAATGAGTTCTTGGTGGTGGTGAGGGGTGCAGCAAGCACAGGAGACATCAGTTAATGTGGTCTCTCATATGCTGCTGTACTCACTCACTCACTCTCTACATTTCTTGTGGTCGAACGAAATCGCATATTTCAGATGAATCGCCGAATCAGCAGCAGACACCAAAGCCACCACCAAAAAGGCGCGGTCGTCCCCCTTTCCGCAAGAAGGTCCGGCCATTTGAATTCGTGGATGATCGGCTAAGTAACGATGGAGTAGGCAGTCCTCCAGACTCTTCGCAACTCGAACAGCTGCCAAGCCATTTCAGTGACACAGAAAGTGTAGTATCTAAGGAACTATCTTCCCATGAAAGAAGAAGCATGTTGCGACGCCATTACTGGACAGCGAGGCATCATTTTCTGCGTTTCGCTTCAAAGTTTCAAAGACCGAGAAGAGCGGTCATGGATCGTGAAAAGATTGTATCCAGTGCCGCCAAGTATGTCAGCGGAGAATTCCTGGACATCTTGCGTGCCGAGCTTCGCCTTCCACCCCTAAAGAGGTACTGTGTAGTAGTTGGTCTGGGTCATCTGACCATCTTTTATTTAACTCGCTTTTGTTTTTAAAGGGGCACTTGAAGCAAATAACAATTTTTGTTAGAGTGAAAGCTCAATGTATGACAGTCTAAAATGGCAATATTATCAACAGCTGTGTCTTACTTACCGAGAAATTAACCTAAATGTACCACACGATGAGCCCCAGGAGTGGAATATTTTGGAAATGATCCCGTTGACGTGAGAGCGACTGATTACAATTAATCACTAGTAATAAAACTAACCTTAATAAAGAAAAGAACCTTCCATGCATCAAGAGATACAATAAAATGCTGCCTGTCCTTTTCTGTGCGACTTATAAAAAAAGGAACATAAAAAAAGGAACCACCGGGAGTTACTGTGGGAACTGGCGGGAGTAGTTCAAGTGTTCCATTTTTGCCTGGTCAAACTTAACTGGTGGTGCCATCTAGCGGGGCCTAGTTGAACCAAGCACGCGAGCCATCTTGGAGGCCATGGCAGAAAATTGTTCAGTGGCTGTTGTTGCTGTTGTGACTCCCACTACTTTCGCTCTGCTTGTACTAGTGTCGGTGGCCGCACAGTAAAGCCGGGCACCGTAGTGCACGGCTACAGTGACGTGAGACGGTCGACTTTCGGGGGGGGGACTTGAAGTGTGCTATTGCGATGCGGAGCTGTAAAACTTAATTTCATTTCAGAATAAGCACTTTTTGGCTCAGAATCAGAACTATGAGATTTCTAGACAGCTATTTCAGCAATCGAAATTGACTTAATGTTTGCCTTTAGTGTTCTTTTAAGGACTGCAAAGTATTATGTACTGGCGGGTTGTGAACGGCTCGCAGTAAAGCTTCATCAAAAATTTACGCTTATAACACTGAACAAACCCTACTGATCGAACATTAAGTACTTTCACAAGACAATAGGTCACCAATTTTATATCCATCCGCGTAATGATAAACAGGTCATTTATTGTTAAAACAAACTGAGCCAAGAACAACTTCAATCGTCAATTGGTATTGAACATGAATGGCTACTTATCTAGGCAATAAATTGTGTATACGGGAATGCAAAACTGACAAATGCATGCCAGTCATGGCTTCAACAAACACTAATGAGCAGCCTCAGCAAAAAGAAAAGCGTGATCCTGCCAAAAAGCGAAGAAAAGAAATACCTGTTATAACACAGGTTTCTCACTGAACATTATAGTTTCTATTCTGTATTGTTCTGAAATATATATGAAATATCAAATCTTTAAATTACTTCTGAAAGAAAAAAAATCGTAGAATATGACACACCTACAAGCATGCTACTATAACTGTTATCATCCTAACACTTATAAAAAATTCCTTAATGATATGAGTGATCAGGTGATAATAGCAAAGAGGTTTGCGTGGATGACCAGCTTAAAAGTACCCTGCAATCTTTTTCCCTTGTCGACGTCTAAGGTAGCACTGTTATTTTTGTTTTTTTTAGATTAAAACTTTTTTGAATTGGCAGTAGCTATGAAGTCTATGTGTACAATTTACGCTGCACTCGGTGTGAGGCGAGCACGAGAGTAGTTCTAGCGGGTGGGTGGAGGTTCGCCGCACACGTGCCGTGGAACAACCGGTTCCGTTATAGTTTCATTTCATTTCATTTCATTTATTTACTCTCAAGGCACTGGGCATTACAGAGAGGAGTGGGACAACAAATATCAATAAGAAGTAAAACAAAATGGCACGATTAGAATAGATTATAATGCACTTTCGGAAATGATTGATTTGAACGCGTTGGCATCTGTGATTGAAGCGATCGATGCGGGAAGGTGGTTCCAGTCAGTACATGTTCTAGGGATGAAAGAGTTGAAAAGCTGGTTCGTATGGCAGAAGGGAACGCCAACCTTGTATTGATGGTCACTGCGTGCTGATATGTTGGCTGGTGGAAAAAACAGTGAATCAGAGAGGGTTCTGTTAGTGTGATAGATCTTATGAAAGAGACAGAGACGTTAATTTTTGTGTCGTATTGAGAGGTTATACAAATTGAGTTGAGCCTTCATTAATGTGACACTTGCAGTTCGAGAGTAATTGGACAATATGAAACATGCTGAGTGATTCTGAATGGATTCAATGTTGTCTATGAGCTTGTGAATACGAGGATCCTAGATAGACGACGCATATTCGAGTTTTGGCCGCACCAATGATTTATACAGGAGAAGCTTTAGGTTAATTGGAGCACGAGAAAAATTTCGGCTTAAATAGCCAAGAGTTCGATTAGCATTGCATGTTATGTAGTCAACGTGAGCCTGCCATGACAGGTTGTTACAAATGTTGACACCGAGGTACTTGTAAGTAGAAACGTTGTTTAGGGGAGTGTTATTAAGTAGGTACGAGGGGGACGCAACTTTTGAAGGGTTACAAGCTACCCTCATTGATTTGCATTTATTTGTGTCAAGTTTCATTAGCCAATTATTACACCACAAAGAAATATTGTCCATGTCAGATTTCAGCGTGTCAGTGTCATTAGAGGTCAAAATTTCGCGGTAACACAATCGTCAGCAAATAACCTAATGGAAGAGGAAATATTATAAGGCAAATCATTAATATATATTAAAAAAAGTAAGGGACCCAAAACAGGGCCTTGAGGCACACTTGAGATTAAGGCAGTAGGAGGAAAGTTACATTCATTAGCAGTCACAAATTGCTCGTGGTTATGTAAGAAGCACTTGATCCACTTTAAGATGTGTGGGTCAAGATTTAGTTTACCTAACTTTAAAAGTAGTAATTCGTGACAAACTGTGTCAAATGCTTTAGAAAAGTCGATAAATACACAATCAATAAAAGTACCACGATCAATAGCAGAGAACAAATCATTAGTAAAGCATAAGAGCAGAGTTTCACAGGAGTAACTTTTTCTAAAATCATGTTGAAAGTTAGTAAAAGAAGAATTATTCTCAAGAAAGTTGACTAAGTTGCAGTAAATGACATGTTCTAATAGCTTACATGGCACACTAGTTAGTGAGATGGGTCTGTAATTGTGGGGATCGTTGGTGTTACCTGGCTTGTGAAGTGGAACCACCTTCCCCACTTTCCAGTCGTTTGACAGGGTACTCGATTCCAAAGACTGTGAAAAAATTTTGGACAGTATTAAGGACGAAAACAATGCGGTGTTTTTAAGAAACTTGGCGCTAATTCCGTCATCTCCGGGGAAAGAAGGCGGCTTGAGATTTTCAATTAATTTTCTTATGCCCTCCCAATTAAGCTCTACTGGCTCTATTAGATCGTAGTTGTGAGTAGACAAGTTAGGAACAGTGGTTGGCGCCACGTTTGCAAATGATGATGCGAATACACTGCTAAGAGCTAGGCAGCAATTTTCTCTTGGAATAAATGATTCGCTCCCTGAAACTGGGTCGATTTGTTTTTTGTTATTTCCATCGATTACCTGCCAAAATCTACGAGGATTAGTTACTAACAAAGAATGCAACGTTTGTTCAAAATATGAGTGCTTGGCAAGTGATAGTGCGCGTGCGTACTCGTCGGCTACACTACGATAATCATCCCATCTTTTGATGTTGCCCGAGTGCTTTGCACTTCGAAAGATGCGCTTCTTTTTATTAAGTAGCTGCCTTAAAGTAGGCGTGAACCCAGCAGACTGATTGTTATCGGTTGTTTTACGGCGCGGTATGAAGCGCTCGGTAAATTCTTCGATTTTACTCTAAAGCGTAGCCAGTTTTCGTTTACCGAGTGTTCATGTAAGCTAGAAAAAAATTCGTGTGAATATGTCTCCAGTTCAGCATTAACTAACGTGTAGTCAGCTCTCCCGTAATCTCTGATTGTTTTTGTAGTTTTACTAATTTTTGACGGCGTGTTCGGTACGAGAAAGTGAATGGCAGAGTGATCGCTGAGACTTGGCCGACTGACAGAAACTGGATGAGATCAGGGTTATTTGTGAACACCAAATCTAATATGGTAGAACTAGTAGACGTGATACGGGTTGGGGAGTTGACCAACTGGCTAAGGTTAAACTCTAAGCATGTATTAATAAGGAGGTGGATTCCGAATTACTGGAGCCAGGTAAGGTACAAGGCAAATTTCAATGGATGTCGGGGAAATTAAAATCACCTAAAAGAATAACATGCGAGGCGGGAAACCGAACATAAAGCATGTTAAGGGCATCGTACAAATCTGAAGAAAAACCAGCAGGTACATTAGGAGGCCGATAGCACACACAAAGGAGAGCGTCTCTATTGTGTAAGCAAACACTAACGCACACTAATTCTAGAGGGCAAACGAGAGCTACGTGCGATGAAACCAGATCGTCTGCAACAGCTATGAGGACACCGCCTCTGGAACGCGATTCACGATCGCATCGATAAAACTTGTATTTTTTTTCGCAATTTAGAATTTTGGAGCTGTCTACTTCCGCGGAAAGCCACGTCTGTGTCAATACGAGGACGTCTGCAAGACAGGTGTCAGTCAGAGATGACAAAGCGTCTCGCTTGCCCATTACACTTTTCACATTACTAAGCAGAAAGGAACAATTGTGTTTGACAGTACCACGTCATGGATTTGTTTTTTGCTACGAAGACTCTTGGACCGACGAGCTAGGAGGACTTAGGTTACTGTTGTTTTCGTTGTTATCGTCAACTGGAACAACAGACAGGATACCATCAGTGACTCGGCAGCACACGTAACTTTTCTTGTTAGTAACAACCTTGTTGTATTTTACTGAATACTTTTGACCGCTGGCTTTACCGAAATCAGTTAGTTTTTTCCTGGCTGTCCGTGTGGCTTTACAGAAATCTTCGTTCATGTTAATGTTCATACCGTGCAACTTTGCTTTTTGGGAAAAGATGTTGTCTCTAACTTTGAATGACGCAAACCGTACAATAACAGGGCAGCATTTGTTTGGCACAAATGCTCCTAGTCTGTGGGCTCGAGATATCGCGTCATCTGAAAGCTGCATCTCGAAAGAACTTGAAAGAATTGCCCTAAACTTTTCTTCCGTGTCTGACCATGTTTTGGCTGCAGCATTGGTAATTCCGTGGAAGATTAAAGAGCAAACCTCATAAGCGTGAAAGCGATGCTGTGAGTGACGAAACAGGGCGTTCGCGCGACGTGTCGCGTGCTCGTTTTCGAAGCGACCGCTTGGTTCTCCAGATTTGGAAACCGTCGCTCATTGCCCGGAAGTGCTGGGCTCAAGCAGCCAATAGCGAAAAACCGGAAAAAGACAAAAACTACGTAGCTGCACGTGATCCTGCCCGAGTCATGTATGTGCAACAAGAAATAACGCAATGTTTATGCATGTGCATATAAAAAAATTGCTGCAAGGCATTCATAAACACTTTCCGTTTCATTACACCACAATATATCTTATTTTTAAATTGCATACCGCTCTCTACGTGGTTTTCTTGGTGCGAGTAGAGGGCCTCATATCAGCAACAGTGGAATTAGCTCGCCGAAGCCGTTGCGTGAATGAGGTATGCCTGCCCTAGCGACTGATCGCGCGAAGACGATCTACGTCACGTCGCTCGTCGCTGTCGCGTGCATTTTCGTGCTTATGAGGTTTGGCCCTTAGTTGTCTCGTCGCGATCAGTCATCGGAGTCGTCAAGTCATGCGCGAAGAGCAGCATTCTCACTATGAACTGCTGATGCAATCCAAATTAAACAATCCAAACGTGATCCCTCGGATAAGTTTTCAAAAGCGTTCGCCTTTTCTTCAAGGTTTGCTAAACGTGTTGTGAGGTCGGACACTTTGTTGTCAAGAAATTTTTGGTTATTTCTGACTACTTCAGTGGATGCTAGAAGATTGTCGTGCCGCTGATCGAGGTGCTTCGTTAGGTGACCGATAGCTAATAGGACTGCATTATTCTGTACTTTGGGGTCTGGCTTTAGGGGACCAGGATTCAGTTCAACGTCGCCTCCTAACAAAAGAAATTTCACAACATGAACACATTCACCAGCAGTAACCATTAAAACGTGTGGGCATGGGAATAGCAGCAAACATACGTTATTACATCTTCTACAGTGAATAGAATAACAACCAACCTGGGTGAAAAGACAGAAGTGGTTTTTAGCGACCATTGTCGCTGCTGCCATCCCATGTCCACTGAACGAACAGGTGATGCTTCGAGGACGAGCTTATGTAGTCCACCGTTGTCGCTGTCGATGTCGTCGCGGCCTTCCTCAAACGCTCCGGTGTCGCATCACACAGTGGGTGAGGGGGTCCCAGGAAATCAGCGCCGATATCGCTGCAAGCCTCCGGAAGAGGGCACGTGCCAGACTAGGGTACGTGCGCGGCACAATCCACGCGGACAGGGATGCACGTTCTGACAGGGATGCAGTTATCCCAATGACAGTGCTTCTCCTCAACGTGCAACTGCTTTTCCCTTGTAAATTGCACAGAATAGAATGAATTTGAGTAATAATATACATACTCTTATCTTGAGTGCCAATTGTGATGCGGATGAGACCATCAGACTACTGCAGCCAAATAATCGACTCCATGATAGAGCTTCGAGGCTCTTCCGCTGCATGACATACCGATTTCTCGTGGCCTTTTGTGCTCAATTAAAAATATATATATATGTAGTAGTGAAGAAGAGTGGCCTCATCGGCATTGCTTGTACTCCCCCTGCCTGGCACTTAGCTATTCATAGGTGACGTCGCTTGTGAAAGGAGCCTGCACCTTGAAAACCCGTCGAAACACATGTGAGCACAAAAACGGGAGACCTACACGAGTGGGGGGATCAAGTGGCTCTGAGTCGTATGTCAGTTGGCTTAGTCTGGGTGATTTGACGGAGGAGGACGAAAGCTGAGACGTTGTGGTAGTCCGCGACATGAGCCCAGCTGTTAGTGGTCCAGCTGCCACACGGAACTTTGATGATGACATCGTACATGACGTAGTTTCTACGCGAGCAACGTGGACGCGGTACTTGCTTTCGGTGCCGCGCTACCTGGCTCAATACGCATGGGCAATGTGCCTGGGCGGTAGCACAGCGATGAGGCCACTCTTCATATATATATATATATATATATATATATATATATATATATATATATATATATAATGAAGACTTTCGTTGGTTCGGCACTATATATTTCCACTAAAATTTCGTCTCGTCCTCCGGATCAAACATTGAACATATACAGTGCCAAACCATCGAAAGTCCTTCTTCCCTATTCCGTGTTATATTGGGATTTACAAGATTTTTTCTAAAATATATATATATATATATATTACTCAGGTCGTATGAAGGATGCCTGAATCTATCACTATAATTCATGTTTTTTTCATTTCCACCAATACCTAATTACACTTTCTGGCCAATTGTTGTACCTTTAAATGCATTTTTTTCCTCATATTTTCCTTACAACAGGCCCGTAGCTGAGGGGGCGCAGAGTGTCCACAGGCCCGGTATCCACCTATCTGAAGTCTGTATGGAGGGGGGGGGGGGGGTGTTTAACCAAAAACAAATAATGATAATAGGTGTTTTTCAAGGCCTTCAAAAAGTGCCCCCCCCCCCCCCCCCCCCAAATAAATAAATTGTAAAAAATCTTTTTGGCTACAAGTCTGCCTTCTAAGCCCGCTGAAGTCTGCATGAGAACGATGACAAATTGGCGGGATGCTATGTTAGCTCATGTCATGACCTTGAGCACTTTTTTTTCCTTTGAATGCGTTGGCTCATTTTCAGTGCTGTCGCTAGTGTCGCTACTGTGTAATGTTATCGTATCACAGAGTGCTTCTTCTGCATGTGACAGCACCCCGTGGCAGCCGCTGTAGCCAATCAACACAAGTACGTTGAAATTATCCAATGGTCATGTCACTCCCTTCTTTATGTAGTCAGTCTGCTTGGTGCCGTAATATTCGCTAAGAAGAGCAAGCGATTTCGAGCATTCTGAAAAATGACTGCAAGTTCCCTGCTGCGTGCAGTGCTGTAATATTTGGATGTGAGTTCACAGGAAGCCCCGACTAGTAATTGGTCGCATTTTCTGGCCACGTTTGTTGAATAAGTGCTGCAGGGCCCCTTTAAAGGTTGTGCAGCTTGCTTATGTACTAAGATGTGAGCAGATTCTTGCTGCTCTCACATGACCTTGGTTCCAGCATTTGACTTGTATGTTGCGCTGTTTAAGTGCTTTGAGAGTGTTGTTCTGTAGAGGCCTCTACATCAGACCTTTGAGATTTTTACTTTGAATGATTGCACAGTTAGCTACAATTCCCTGTACGAGGTGTATAAAATCAGAAGCAGCATTGTGAACTCCGCACATTCCTCTTGATATCTTTGCCTCTTTGATACGTTTGCTACCATGTCAGAAATATTATATAGTCAACCCTTCTCACTTCTCATCTATCTCACTCTTTCATAGCGTCAAGAACAAGCAGACAAGTTGCTCAAGCAATCTGTTCGCTGCTGAGAGTGGAGGCGACTGCAGGCAGGTGAGAGTCTTCAGACATGTTTATCCACAAAATTGGGAGCTAGCTCGAGTTAGAGGTCAAAAGTGCCGCACTCTTAATTCTGCTACAATTAGCTGCCGAGAACAGTGGCCAGGCGGTCACTGGAGTTTCTTATGACCACGCCGATGCTTGTGATGCATTGATTTGCCCTTAATGTTCAGTCGCGCGCAATATGAGTTGCACCATGGTGGCCATGGTTGAAGGGGTCCCCGAGTCTGAGTGGTGCCATGAGCTAATGGTTAATTGGTTGAGAGCATGGCTCGGCAACATTTGAGGTCGAGAGCTAAAGTTGAACAAAGCTGACATGGCAGGTGCCAGACAGCTTCATGCCCAAGGGGAGAGAGGGGTTTACAAGCTGAAAAAATTTGTTGAATTGACAGTAATCCACATTGCTGGAATAAATATCATGCTTATATAAACTGTCAAGGCAATATTTTTTGCTCAATATTGAAAGCGCTTCATTACAGCTCTTATAAGTAGTGATGGGGGGATGAAGGGAGGGGGGGTGTGCTTCAGACATCGTGCCAGTGGCCGCATAATAATTTCTTGCGGGCAGCAGGTTGCAGACCCCTCGTTTAGAGAATACGAATTAATGAAACATTGTTAACTTCACTAGTTTACTCTGTGTCGGCAGCGCTTTGCAGTATTGGTGCCACTTTACATGCGGACCTCACTTTGCAACTCATATTAGGCATGACTACATGCCACACACCCATGATGAGAGACATGCGCTGGGCAGATTCTAAGCGCTAATGTATTGCCCCTCACCAGTCTCCCCCCCCCCTCTTTTGTTCTGAAATTCACTATAATAGCATGGACATTTTAAGAGCAAGTCCTTTTAGTGCGCCAGCAAATCCCGGTTGTCATCCAAAGGCTGGTCGTAATTCAAAGATAGTTAGGCGTGGGACCTGCCAGTTTTTGTGTGATTTATTGAAACATTACCGTCTTTTTCTTCTGCTTTTTTTCAGTTTCACAATTTGACTTCATTCGGCCCCGAGTCTCTGGATGACCCACAAATTTTCCTGAGCTCCTTAGATGGTACAAATGCGTCGACGCAAGTTTCTTGTTGGCAAGTTTCCGTTCCCACGGCACAAAATAGAGCCAAAGTTCCTCACAGGCCCTCTTCTCAGATTGCCACGTGACGAAAGCTGCTCAAGTGGAAGCTACCCTTGGATGTGCGTTCCGCTGTTCTTGCGGCGTTATGCTATGGTAACTGTTTCTGCCACGCAGTTTACACAGCTTTTAGCAGGTCTTGAAGTTAAAAGTGTCTGTGACACAAACGCGTATTGCTGCATTTCATTGCATTGTCAGTTCTGCTGGCACTGCCTTCTTGAACTCACCACTTTACTCGTTTCTTAAATATAAAGAAATGGTAATACTGGAATCGTTCAGAAAGCAGCATTGTAAAATTTTGTTGTCATACAGATGTTGCATATTAAATGTTACTCTGATCCACATATTGACACATGACAGTCGGCTCTCATGGCAGTGGGCACTCTTCCTCAGCCTCGGCGAGCGCTATCCCTGCTATCCAAAGCAAGCGTGAAAAAGCATGCAAGCTGGTTTCGCTTAGCAGCAAACTTATAACAGGTGCTATAACATGCTCATTATGTAAAGTGGAATTACTGTACTTTGGAGGAACGGTGGCCAGTACAGTTTTATTTGGAAACACTAAAATAAAATAGCTCGTCCATTGATGCCATGGATTATTTTTTTTTGTAATGTCCGTAAATGATTTTTTGGGCAGTTAAAATGACACTGAACAAAAACAACTTTTTGTGCATTGATAAATTACTAATTTAAGATACTAAAAACGCCACTCTTACCGCAAGAAGACGCTCGGTAAGTGAGAAAATGCACGAAAGGAAAATGTTGGTGGTGACGCTACCTTGTAGTTCCCGCTCCAAACACTGCGATTTTAGAGATTTCGGCGTCTTCTAGGCTGTGCATAGTCGATAATCTGTAAAAATGAAGTACATTTTACTGCAAGGAGGCCATAAACATGACATACAAAGTTTCAGGAAATTTTGTTCGGCCCATGTCACCATAATACTCAAAATACCATTTGAAATTTTATGTCATGTGTGAAGATTTCAGCTTGAAATTTCAAAATAAAATTTTACCTTCATTTTTCCTCTAAATATAAAGATATGATACTGAAATTAAATATGTTAAGGTTCTCAGAGTATAATTTAGTAATAACTGTTGTCTCATTGTTTCACCTCAGTTTCTCTTTAAGACAAAAAAAAAAGCCACTGTTCTCTCACTGAATTGAGCATTTTGCGTCAAAACACCCAAGGATGTTTAATAGTGCAAGTCTATTGCCAGCAGTTGAGTTCTGGTTGTTGCAGCTGTCACCGCCTGCTTGTGCACCATCTTTTTGGTCATAATCACTGCCATCTTTCTTGCCATCATCTTGGCAGCAGTCATCTTTATAATGTGTTCCACACTGCGCAACTTGCATGTCATGAGATGGTCATCTGTGCACACAAACTCTTGAGGAAGCGTTTACTGTCCATTGATCCCAGCTCCGGGTCTGTGAAATCCACATTTTACAGACGAAAGCTGTTATGAGATCACAACTCGGGTCACGCGCAGTTGTCCGCCGCTGCCGCTGATGTTCATAATCACATTGCGCGATATTAGAAAAAAAAAAAAGCTAGCTCCAATGCCACAGTGGGGCTCAAAGCCGGGTCCACTGGGTGCCAGCCCAGTATTCTACCACTGAGCTACGCCGTTTTTTTTTTCCCGGTTAAACTTCACAAACGGGTGGCTAAGATAAATATATTACAATTCACAACGAACAATACAAAAAACTTAAAAATAACTAAGTCCGTCAAGCATTACTATAACACATCACGTCCTAGAATTCCTTCATGATCAGTAGGGCTTCTACCCTTTCTACCCATAAAAGTACACATTCGTCTGTTCTTACTACCTCGAGTAATCTTGAGATGCTTTCTTTAAAATACTCTCTTGCTGGTCTTCTGTCCGGGTCACAATGAAATCCAGCCATTCTAGAGCGCCATATACTGTGCAAGGCAGTCATCATGATAAAATCGAAAGGTAATCCATCCTCATTCTCTATTGCCAAATACCTGATCCCATGAGGGTCTAACGGGAACTCTTTTTTGATTGTCCTTTGTAATACGTCCCAAAAATAAACTCCTTCCCAACAGTGCAGAAAAACATAGTCAATAATTTCCGGTTTCTTACAGATTAGACAGTGAAATCCCCAAGGCATATAAAACCCACGCTTCTCTAGGAAGGTTCTTACAGGAAGTGTTCCAGTGTGTAATTTGAAAAAGAACGTTTTTGCACTTGGAGCTGCTGGCATTTTTTTAACTCGTTTAAGTACATTCTGACCCTTGCGTGCTGTATATAGCGCTCTGTACAATGGGATAGGGAGCATGGTGTCGCATAAATCTTTGTACAGTTTTTTCTTTCCAACAGACCACAGGTAGTCAGTTGAAAACCGAACACACAAAAAACGCACGCTGGCCACAACTTCCTTCATGTATCCTTGCACAGCCCCTGTGGTAACATGAGTGCTCACAACAAACTCGGGCAACGGTCTACTTAGTTTTGTTTGACACACTGTTAGTAGGAAAGGATCTCTTGTCTCGCGAAAAAAGAAAAACTTATTTACTAACTGCTTGACAAACAGATGTCCTAGCCCAAGGCCTCCACACTTCACTCGCCTAAACAAATTCGTGCGACTGCACCTTTCCCAGTTAAAACCCCCACACAAATACTGCAAACACCCGATGTAATTTTTGCACATTGACCCGGGAACAGTACAGCACTTGCATCACATACCACAGCTTAGACACAAAAAACCAGTTGCATGCAGTAGCCCTAGCAAAAATGGACAGATAGGTTGCATTCCACCTATTCGCTTTCTTTTTAATTTCTTTCGTTTGGTGTGTCCAATATTCATCAGTACTTTTGTATGACTCGAGCGGTACTCCGAGATATTTAATTGGCATTCTTGTCCATTTAATGGCTGCAAAAAATTCTGGTGTTGAAGGCCGATATCCATGCCAGAAGCCGAGGCATTTACCCCAGTTTATGTGGCTTCCCGTAACTTCGGCGAAAGATTTAGAAACTCTGATTGATTCTTCAATACCTTCATAGCAAGTGCTACAAATCGCAACATCATCAGCGTATGCGAGTAGTTTGACCTCTGAAGATTGTACTCTAAACCCATTAATGATGTCATTCTGCAATATCGACCGACATAAAGTTTCAATATATATGCAAAACAAAAGTGGACTAACAGGGCAACCTTGACGCACTGAGCGCTCAATTCTAATGGGGGGCCCAATGTCTTGTTGATAATTAGTCTCGTACTACCATTCCGATATGCCATGGCTACTCCGTCAATAATTATCTTACCAACATTAATGTGCTTCAATACTGCAAACAAAAGAGCGTGGGCAACGCAATCAAACGCTTTCTCCAGATCCAGCTGGAGTATGGCCACACGAGCTTGACTGGTGTCAACACATTTGAGCACGGATCGCATTTTATGAACGTTTGTAACTATGGACTGACCTTTGATTCCACACGTTTGGTGTGGACCGACGATATCTTTTATTACTGACTGAAGTCTAGCCGCCAAAATTTTCAATAATATTTTGTAGTCTACGTTTGTCAGTGCGATTGGCCTGTACGCTGTGACGTGCCTGAGTTTTTCAACCTCGTCTGTTTTCGGAATCAGAACGGTACGCGATTCACCAAAGGATGGTGGTAATTTCTTTTCCTCATATGTCTCATTAAAAACGCCCACAAGTATTGAAGACAACTCACTTTTAAAAGATTTGTACCACTTGGCACAAAGACTATCGGGTCCTGGAGATTTCCCGGGATTTAACTTATCAATCGCCCGTTCAACTTCAGATGCAGATATAGATAATTCCAAAGAGTTTTTCACTTCCTCACTCACTTGCGGCATGCGTCCTAAATATTCGTCTTTAAATCTTTCTAGGTATACCTGTCTACACGCAAAAAGGTTTTCAAAATGACTTAAAAATACGGATAAAATGCTGTCCGTATCGGTTACTTCGTGACCATCCTTCTCTATTTTTTCGATATGATTCCGTCGAGCGTTCGTTTTCTCCACCCCTAACGCTCTTTTGGTTGGCGTGTCTCCAGCCGCTAAAGCCTCAGCCCTTGCACGGACGAGTGCACCGCGGTAGCGTTCCTCGTCATGCAGTGCAAGTTTCTGCTTAATATTGCGTATGTCAATTTTATACTCTCCCGGTTGTTTGCACTCCAAGTCTATTAGTCTTTCCAAAGTCTTTTGGAGTTCTTTTTCTTTTTTTTTTCCTTTCGTAACTCAATGCGCTAGAACAATCAATAGCTTTTATTTTTATTCGCTGCTTGAACTCTTTCCATTGTTCTGCAAGTTTAGCTCCATCATCCATATTTATTTCATTGATGCAGTTCATAACCTGATCTAAGAAATATTCGTTAGTGATCAAAGTGAAATTCATCTTCCACAGCTCCCATGAGAAAGTTCCACCTTTTGTTTTCTCCCCCATATCACATTTAACTAAACAATTATCACTGAAGTGTATTGGGTAGACAGCATATGTCTTACAGTGGGCTATTAATTCAAGCAACAGGTAAATGCGATCAAGGCGCGCATGGCTATTCCCCTGAAAATGTGTGAAATGCACATCCCGCGTACCCTCCATACAGCTGCCCACGTCTTCTAACTCGAATTCAGTAACTACGTCCGCTAGCGTCCTACTACTTTTATCGTAAATGGCGCGTCCATTTGCTCGATCTCACCCGTTGAGGATGCAGTAATACATATTTCCTTTCCAAAGTGAAGTGCTGCTTTAGGCTTGAAAAAAAAAGTGATCGCTCCTCGCAAATGGTTGGTGCATATATACACACCATACGCCACTGACATTCATTGAATACAAAATCACAGGAAACCAATCTACCAGACGGGAAAGAGAATGTATCTTGCACTACCAGACCCGGCAACTTCTTAATGAACAAAACACAGCCTGCCTATCGCTTGACTTACAATTGCATAGTAACGCGCCGTAAACCTCAGCACCATGCCCCGGGTCTCCTCCTCACCGTCTACTTTTGTTTCTTGTACAGCTAGTATATCCAGATCATGATCCACGAGCAGCCTGTAGACTTGGCTTTGTTTCCACTTGGCGGCAAGACCTCGAACATTTAACGTTGCCACTCTAAGTTTCGGTACAAAAGCCATGTCTACATAGTGAAGAAGTTAGCCCGGGGCATGATGCTTACCTTCAGCATCTAGCATAGAGCTAGACATCTTCGGAGCCTCCAGGTGGACCCGTGCTACTGGAGGACAAAGGTGGCCAGTGTTTGTCCAATATCGTGTTGGGACGCAGCCTTGTGCTGCTGTGTCTGAACGAGGTCGCCTTCGCAGGTGGCCCCTCTTCATGCTTTTCACTGGACACCTTACGCCGTCCTGCAGACTGCTCGCGGGGTCTTTTGCTTGATGCCCTACCACTGATACTCTCGCACGACACTGTAAGTTCGGTTAATTCCACCGGCTCAGGCTCCTTCGATGGGGTGCTTGTGAAGCCTTCTTCAGTTTGGCCGGCTGGCTCTTGAGTAACCTCCCCAGATTCTATGTCTGCTTGGGCTGTTGGTTCATCACCACCAGTCGGTGTGGCTGTAGTAGTTGAAGCTTCTGGATTCACCACGTCGCCTGCGCCTTTCGCCACGTCTTCAGCCTCGGTCACGTCCATCACCAACTCTGCTGTGTCTTCACCTTCAGCTGATCCTATAGCCGATGCGTACGTTCGCATGCATGCGTCTTCGCTGTAGCCAAACCGCCGACAACGCGACCATCGGGGTACCTTACACTCTCTTCTAACATGGCCGGTACCTTGGCAGCGCGGACACTGCATTGGCCGACCAGGTGCAATCACAAGTGCCAGTTCACCAGCCACCCTGATTTGATGCGGGAGATCTTCAACCTTCACGTCACTCTTGAGCTTAAGAAGCACAGTCCGTGTGGTTGACCCCTTGTCGCTGACTCCTAGAACACGCCAATTCTCCCTGGTGACTTGTACGACCTTCCCATAAGCCGCCAATGCCGTTCGCACATCTTCATCGTTGACGCCATACAGCAGCCAAT